GAGAAATGTGCTATAGCTGTTTAAATTTCTTTTATTTTTATTTCCCAAGTACTTTCGATATTTTCCAAGATCATCTTCAAGGGTGCAAGTATTTATACAAAGATGTGCCGAGGGTTCATTAGAACGTGAAAAAAATTATCCATAATGGATAATTCTTTTTACGTTCTAATGAACGCCCGGCACATTGTCAACCATTTTGCATTTAAAAGCATCATGATAAAATGACGGTAACGGATAAATCGCACATCTTTGTATAAATATCATAATTCTTGCTTTCAATTCATCTTTTGTGCTTTAATGGTTTTGGGAGGATTCTCGATCAAATACGCCCCACACATAATAGGAAAGTGTGCGGAGTTAGGTGAGCTGATGTAAGCAGTGATGTGATCGCAGAAATTGTCTGACAGCAATGACTGGGTTCTCCTTCTTGTGTGGCATGGTGCAGAGTCCTGTTGTCAGATATAGGTTCTTCCAACAGCCACCTTCTTGATCTAGGGTAGTACTACCCCCTCAAGATATTTTATTTCTCGCTCTTCTCGCTTGTGGAGCTCTCTTCCGGCCTCTTACATTCATGCCAACTTTGACCTTTAAAAATTTAAATGCAATGTCAATCGTTATCAATTGTCTTCTTGATTCGTCTTCTTTCAATGTTCTCATTCCTAAATGGTGTTTTTTTTTTTTTTACGCTAAGTAACCTCTTCTGTCTTAGTGGCTTTATTGCCTTATTTGGAGGGGAAATAATCAAAAAAATTTTTTTTTTTTTTTTTTTTTTAGATTTTGCGAAGTAAATCCATTTTAGCAGGAAATTCTTTTATGATTTCTTTTCTGTTTTTTTTTTTTTTTTTGTCCTGAATTTTATTAGCGTTAACTTTTTACATCCGCTGGTTGAGACTTTTAGCGCGCACACCTGCAGAGACGCAGGATTTCCTTTTGGAACAATACGTCACTGATTCCAATCTCTTAGGCAATTTGTTACACCCTGGTACTCGCTGTCCCTAGTCACCGTACGCACCAAGAAGTCTCTTATCTCTCAAGCTTCTTCCTCTCTCACCTTACTCCTCCAATCCCAACCCCTCTCACCCCCCCATATATATATATATATATATATATATATATATATATATATATATATATATATATATATATATATGTCAGATGTATGAATGCAAGTTAATGTTTTCACAATAAAATCAGTTTTAAATACTAATTTTAGTGTAATTCTCAGCATGTACACTATAGGCAAAAGGTTTTGAGCCATCTCCTAGATTTAAAAGTTAGTAAGTTTCATGCCTTCAATGCTTTAATTAACTCCTACTAAGCGAGGATACTGAAACTATTTAACCCATAAGTGGGGAGTAACTAAAATTTGAATACCGGTAGCCTCAATGCTATTATAGCCAAGGAGAAAGATTCAGCGAAAGATCTAAAATTTTAAGTAATCTTCATTCAGTAATTTCAGGTGCATTCAGTTATTATTATTATTATTATTATTATTAAAGATATGATAAAACCCATCAAGAAGAAAAATCCCTCTGACCATAAGTTAGTCAGTAAATTAGTTTTTGAATATATATATATATATATATATATATATATATATATATATAATAAAATAATCACACATAGAATCAATCAGAAGTATTAATGCGATTATTGGCGACATCCATCGCTAGAAAACATAATATATGCATTAAAATACTGTTCATCCATAGTGCGAGTTGATCCTCATCGATAAACTTGTTGTCTGTAGTTTCAGTTTATTTGATGTTAAAATGCTAGTACTTACGAATAGTCTTCTATTCATCATCAGGCATGTGTTTTTTCCTTATAAAATCAAAAAACTTGAAGACGATATACCTGTATGTCGACCGAAAGATGTTTTTGAATATCTGCTATTATTGACGGTTGTGTAAGATCTCGGAACGTGCAAAGACACAACGCTAAGTTTTCAAAATTTTAAGTGAGAATTTTATTTAAATATTTCTTGTGATGTGTTAAATCCACGTATTCTATTTTTTACAAGTGTATTCAGTTTTTTATGTCATGAACTAAGTATATAGTTCAATAATATTGTGTAATGTCTTAGTAGTAGTTTTTTAATTTTTTTTATAGGAATTTTTTATGTACTGCGGATCGATAGTTTTTTTATAAACATAAAACATTAGGCAGCATATAATTTACATACGAAGAAATAATCACAGAATCATTATATATATTTGTACATGTTTATAAGGACTTTTGTCGTTGTTTTGGTATAAGAACCACCAAAGTTTGTAAAAGTATCATTGATACACCCTCTGTGTGTGTGTATATATATATATATATATATATATATATATATATATATATATGTTTTATATATATATATATATATATATATATATATATATATGTGTGTGTGTGTGTGTGTGTGTGTGTGTGTGTGTGTGTGTGTTATGGCAGTTTTTTATGCACAAATCCCTTTCATAAAGAAATAAAATAAAAAAATAAAAAATCTCCA